GGTGGAGGTAGGTTCAATTAAGGTATTTGAGAAGGTGATTGGATGATCATTAAAACAGAAACAACATGCATGGATATAGAGAAAAGGCAGGAGAATGGATGCAAGTCTCAATGCTCTTTTGGATAGTCATGGCAGACATGATGGGCCAATCAACCTCTTTCTGCACAACTATATTTCTGCAAATTTCCCCAAAAAGCAATCCTGCAGTGATTTTCTCAGTCAAGTGTCAAAGGGGAAGTAATATTTCTGGTCATGTTATGTCCGCTGTGCAGTCAGTTGGTTTTGCAGGTGTCTGTCTAGTAGTATGGTCACCTACAGTAGCTCAGCAACATTTAATTGCTTTGTAAAATAAAAGCTATGAGGTTGGAGACTGGATTTGTTCTATCACAGTGAATGCAAACGACAGATTTTCCTTATAAAGCTGTCATCCTCTTTGGATTGAAACAGTGAGCAGCCCGATGAAATGCATTGTAAGTTTCAACACTAGGTGAGCAACCTGCTGAGGTCAGACATTCATATTACAACAAACCATATCACAATAATCTCTCCACAGCCATCATGGCGCCTCGACAAACAACATGTGCCAAGGAAAGAAAAAGAACATAATCCAACTTGGACCAGATCATATTGACTCCTGCCAAAACCAAGCTTTGATTCACAGAGAGCAAAAAAAAACACAAGTTACAGCTTAGCAGAATAAATAAGTGTTCTTTTTATAGGACACAGTATTCCTAGAAATTTTGTTAGGTGATAATCTCCTCCTCAGAGCCAATATTAGAGAAATGATTGGTTTTATTCAAGCTCTTTCTCAGACTAAAAGGGACGACCCCCATTGTGAGATTATTGTAATGAAGTCATGAGGATTGTCTTGCTCCTGCCTCCTGCCTCCTGCTCCATTGATACACATTTCCAGGTATCTCATGGTATAGCCAAATTGGCCATTCCTCATGTGAACATCTCGGCAGCAAGTTTTATTAGGCTATTCAACTGCAGAGGCACACAGTTGAGCGCATTCTGGTGTGTACATGGCTTCAGTATATACAGACTGCCATCTGTGAATACTGGATGTCAATGACATTTATGAACCCAGTTAAGATAATTTTTCTCTCCATAACTCAGGGACATTAATATCCGTTATATTGGCCACAAAAGGCCAAACAATAATTCAGAGATCAATCTGGAACTAACATGTCGTGTGCCTGTGGAGTTACCAGTTCTGTTTGTTTTTCTTACCTGTAAAGGTATAATTCTGAAATGAAGGAGATACATTTGCTCCAAAGACTCAGAAGATGAAGAAGCTGTCAAATCTGATATTTGCTTTTCACGGTGCATGTTCAAAAAGATAAAATTGAAATAACTGAGCTGTGGCTTTGTGGTAACAATCTTAACTCCACGTCTGGAAGTTATGGGCTTAAGGTCAACTTGAGATTGCACACAAAATCTAAACTGATATTTCCTTGTGTTAAATTGCGTTAGGTGCTGTCCTTTGGGTGGGTTATAAACTAAGGCCTTGGCTGTACTCTTAGGTTGGCACTAAAGTTCACATGCCACTATTTGAAGAGAAACAGAGTCCCCACTATGCTCCAGACAATGTATATTCCTCAACCAATACCTAAAATCCGATCATCAGGTCACTATCCCATTCTGTTTGAAGAACCTTGCAATACCGCAAATTTTCTGCCATGTTTTCCTTCATTGTCAATGACTGTATTTCAAAAGAAGTGCTCATTAACGTTTTGGGAAATCTTGGTGTTATGAAAATTGCTATAAAATACAAACTGTTGTATCTTTCTTGCATTACTTATCTCTTAGTTGCCTCTGGAAGCTGGTGATGAGTTTCCTCCTGAATCAGTTGATCCAAAATTCTGAGAATTCCAGGATTTCAATCCAACATCATTGCAGGAATGGTAACATGGGCAGGAAGTGAGCAGCTACATTAACTTGGATGGAAAATAATAAAACCACTGGTTACAATCTCAGTGTGCTGTGTATCAATTTCTGCCACCCAGTTGAGAAAATCTCCAAGGAGTATCCTAGTGTATAGACCGTATCTTTTTATTTTACTGTATTTGTTTTGGTTGTGGGCTGAAATAGAGGAAGGATTGTTCTAAAAATGAAGGATTGTTGAAGGATCACTGCACTTGTTAAAAGCAAGTGACCTGACTCTTAACTCTGTTGTTTATTTAATCAATTGGGGTAATGGGGGGTGGGGGTGGAGTCTAGTTACAGACAAACTGGCACCAGGTGATGTGCACGAAATTAGATTCAGTCATCAACAAGAAATTGATTGGGTTGTGGAGTGGTAGCAAATTTGTTGATGGCCACAAGACCAAAAGAAATAGGAACAGGAGTAGGTGATTCAGCCCCTCGAGTCTGCTCTGCCATTCAGTAGGATTGTGGCTGATCTGACATTCCTCACATCTGCTTTCATGCCTTCTCGCCATAACCCTTGATTCCCACATTGATCAAGAATTCATCTATCTCAGCCTTAAACGTACACAAAGACGCTGCTCTCACAGCTCTCTGTGACAAGTAGTTCCAAAGACTCACAACTCTCAAAGAAGAAATTCCTCTTCATCTCAGTTATAAATTGGCAGCCCCTTATTCTGAGACTATGCCCTCTGGTCCTAGACTCTCCCATAAGGGGGAAACATCCTCTCAGCCTTTACCCTGTCAAGTCCCTTAAGAATCCCATGTGTTTCAATGAGATCACCTCTCATTCTTCTCCAGTGAGTAGAGTGCCAACCTGTTTAGCCTTTGTTCATCAGACAATCCCTCCATACTGGTGATCATCTTTGTGAACCTTCTGTGAATTGCGTCCAATGAAATTATATCTTTGCTTAAATAAGGTAACCAAAAGGGTGGCAAAGTGGCTGGCATTGGTGCCTGACAGTGCCAGGGACCTGGGTTCAATTCCACCCTTGGGTGACTGTCTGTGTGGAATTTGCACATTCTCCCCGTGTCTGCATGGCCTTCCTTCAGGTGCTCTGGCTTCCTCTCACAGTCCAAAGACGTGCAGGTTAGGTGGATTTGCCATGGGAAATGCAGGATTACAGGGAAAGTTGGGAGGGAGGAGGGACACTCTTCAGAAGGTTGGTGTGGACTTGATGGGCTGAATGGCCTGCTTCCACATTGTAGGGATTCTTTGATTCTACAACCACTCACAGTACTCCAGCTGTGGTCTCAGCAACACTTTGTACAATGCAGCAAGACTTGCTTATTCTTATACTCTAAACCATTTCAAATAAGGGCCAATATTACCTGTTAGGAATAGCAGAGCTCAATTTCCAGTGTGCGCCCCAAGTAAGGTTTGACAATCTTTAGTGTAAGATTTCATCTGACTTGGTTGCATTAATGTGCCCAAATACTTGCCATTTTTGTCATTCTGAAGAACAGAAAAGTGAATGTACATTGCAAATGTACATCAGCACCAGGGCCCAGTGTCCTGGATGCTATCAAAATTCTTGTACACTGGTGAAGTTGCAGTAAATTCTATCACAGGCCTGAGCTTTGTAGATGGTGGAGACATTAAGCCAAAAGGTTAGCCAGCAGTTATCAGAATATTCAGCCTCTGTCCTGATGTTTTGCTCTAGAATATCACAGAATTGCTAACGTGCACAAGGGGGCCATTCAGCCCATTGCACATGTACTAGCTCATTAAATGAGCATTGTTACATAGCATCAATCTCCTGCTTCTTCCCCTGTACACTTACATTTTAGTTTACACAAATAATTACCCAATGCCTCCACATTTCCAAGTAATTCATTCTGTATTCTCACTATTTGCTGAGAGAAGACGTTTTTCCTTATTTCTTTCGTCAATTACTTTAAATGTATGCCCTCTTGTCCTCATTGCCTTTACAAGCAAGAACAACTCTCCCTATTTATTCTATCCTGCCTGCTCATGATTTTGAAAACCTCTATCAGATCTGCTCTTAGCCTTCTTCTTTCCAAGAATAAAAGTCCCAACCTCTTCGATTTATTCTCTAAACTGAAATCCTCATCCCTGGACTCATTTTTGTAAACTCTACTGCATCATCTCTTCAATGCATTCCCATCCTTCTTATACTTATGTCTGATCTAGTTGAGTTATCCCTCAAGTGACTTCAGGGTGGCGAATCGATAATTCCTTGTCACTGTTTAACAAAAACATAGGACAAGTAGAACCAGCTATTTGTTAGCTCAAGCCTGGATATTATCCAAACCTCATTGTGAACTGGCACAGGCTGTTTCATTATCAGATAGAGCTGAACATTCATGTTGTCAGCAAACAGCCTCATGCATGATATTAAGGTGTTTCCTTGATGAGCTTCACACCATCAAGTAATGGTCAGACTTAGTAATTTGCCCCTCTGCATCATGCTGAGGGAGTGTGATCTGCAACAACGGACCCAATTCCTTTATAGCATCAAGTATGACTCAAGCTACTGAAAAATTACTCATTGACCCAATCCTATCCCAAACCCTTTATCACAATTGTTTTACTTTTTTTTTCTAGTTCAAGAATGAGAGTTCAGTGAAAAACACCTCAGCTGAGCAAGATTACCATGGAGTGAATGCTGCTTAATGATATTACTAGTAATTGCTTGCATCACCATGGTGTTTAAAAAAGATACTGGTGTGAGTGGATATACTGTGCTTTTTGTAGATACAGGCCATTTTTCCATATTATTGGGCAGATGATTGTTATAGTATACTGGAAGAACCAGACATCATGTAGAACTGTTAATATGTGACACATTTTGACTATTCTCCACATACTAAATGGGTTGGACATCAAGTGGCTAAAGAATCAGGTTCAGCTGAGATACTGCCTCGCCTTCTTATGGCACTCCAACACACCAACTCAGATAGACATGTTAAATAAATGCCATCTTGCGTAAGGATGACCCCATGGAAATATAGGCTGACGTCAATGAAAGCAAACAGTTCAGAATAGGAGAAATACATTTTAAAATTTAAAACGTTCCAGCAGAAAAAAAAACAAATAAAAACAGTAATTTAAATCTCATCTTTATTAAAGTAGCCATCTATCAGCTTTCAACAAATTGCTTTGGTTTTATGTTCCTTTAAATAATTAATTGACATGAGATCATTTCCTCTTAGAATACAATTTCTCTTCGTAGTTGGGTTGGACCAGTCCTGGGCAGGTTTCATCAGTCGTTGGAGTGCGGTGTTTCAGAATTGTAGGTCTGATTACATCGATGTCACGTCCTAAATGGTCCAACATGGTTGGGATAATGGTTGGACGGGCATCAAAGTCTACCAGGAAATATCTGAAATAAACAAAATATAAATAAACTCACATTCATAATTCTTTTTTTCAACCTTTAATACGTTGTGATTAAACACCACAGTTACAAATACCACGAGCATAAAGTCTTTCCTGCATATTTCTCTCTTGATCCAAAATCGTTTAATTTTGAACCCTCTTTTTTTTTTTAAACCAGCATGCCGCAAACAGAATAGGTTCCAGGAGGATCGGCAAAATGGCTTATTGAATTCGAATTTCACCATCTGCTGTGGCAGGATTCGAACCTGGGACCCCAGAACATTGCCTGGGGGTCTCTGGGTGAACAGTCCAGTGATAATTCCACTACGATGTCGCCATAATGGTGATGGAATATGTCAGGGAAGGATCCTATGTCCTTGTCAGGACAATATTTTACCAATGGTAGAACATCGGCAGTGGTATCGTGTGCCAGGCAAATGTCCACTGTCCACTCTAAGCATTCTACTGGCATTCAGAGGAGCTATCACTGCACAGAAAGACTGACAGGTAGGCCATGGCATTGTTCACAGGAGGGAGAGGGATGTGTACATGTGTATGATGGGAACGGGTGGGGGCACTGATGGAGAAAGAGTAGGGATGCCTCTATTATTGCCATGCCCCAGTCCAGATTGAAAAGAAATGCATACTACATTACAAAACCTCAAAAGCAGCAGGGATTGAGTTTCACATGTGGAAAAAGGTAACACTAAACCTATATGCACAATTGATTAGGTCAGAGTAGAAAACTATGGGTCAAAAACAGAAGATGCTGGAAAAGCTCAGCAAGTCTGGCAGCATCTGTGAAGAAAAAAATCAGAGTTAACGTTTCGGGTCCTGCTGAGCTTTTCCAGCAACTTCTGTTTTTGTTCCTGATTTACAGCATCCACAGCTCTTTCGGTTTTTATTGAAAACTATGGGCGCCTGGCTTTGGGAAAGAAGTGAAGATCATAAAGAGAGGCTAAAGATTTAAAGAGAATATACATGGGGCAATTAAGTGCAGTGACCAGGAAAGAAAGAATTCTTTTCAAAAAGGCAGGAGAAAGGGGATCAAATAGAGATCTTGTGGAAGCAGAACTATAAAAAGATTTTAAATAGAAGTGGATTAAACTGAAATAGAAAAATGTAAGACAAAAACAATCAAAGAGGACTAAATGAGTAAACAGTCAAATGGCCTCTAACAAAGACAGAAATTGTTGGCGAAACTCAGCTTGTCTGGGAGCATCTGTAGGAAGAAAGCAGAGTTAATGTTTTAGGTCCAGTGGCACTTCATCAGAAGTTAGTAGTTAGGGAAAGGTGGTATTTATGCTGAAGGATGTTGGTGGGGGTGTGGGTGGGGAGAAAAAAGAGCAGATGGGTAGAGATGGAGCACAGAAAGGAGACATATGAAAGGAGCGTATGAACAAGGAGATTATGAATAGCACGAAAGCATTGAAGAAAAGTTGAATAAGTGATAATCAGAGCTAAAAGTGAAAAAATGGGTGAGCTGTACTGAAAGCAATCCATATAATGTGCTAATTGGTCTCAGAGTATGTGAGAATGGGTGACTGTGCTAAAAACAATACATATCATAATAGGATTGGGTGTGGGGTGGATTAAAAAAAAACATAGAAGGTTGGAATCAGGCTCTAAAGTTATTGAACTCTATGTTCAGTCAGGTCCCCATGCAAAAAATGAGACGTTGTTCTTTAAGCTTATGCTGAGGCTTGCTGGAAAACTGTAGCAGGCCCGAGACAGAAATGTTGATGTGGGAAACATGGTGGGGTGTTGAAATGGCAGGCAACAAGAAGCTCGGTGCCCTTTCTGCAGATAGGATGTCTGTGTTCTGCAAAGTGGTCACCCAGTCTGCATTTTGCCTCCCCAACATAGAGGAGACCACAGTGTGAGCAGTAAGTACAGTAGACTAGATTGCTGCTTCACCTGGAATGTATGTCTGGGACCTTGGAGAGTTAGGAGGAAGTAAACGGGCGGGTATTACACCTTCTGAGACATGCTGGAATTAAAAGTTCAATATGTCTATAGGTTTTGATCCATGGACATAACTCAGCTTTATGGGATGCCTAGAAGAGGTTTCTTAAAAGGGACAACTAGATGCTCCCAGCATTCTTTTTTATGAATCTTACTGTTATGGAGGGGTCATGAGTAATAGTGCTATGGGCCTTTTCCTGTCTGTGTATTCCAGCTCTCAAGGGTGTAGCTACAAGTCAGCATCCAGCCAGGCACTTTTAAAAACATGTTGGCAAGCATACATCTCCAACGATGTCCCACTGTGCATTTTGTTTCCATAAAACTGGCCCAAGTCACAGACAAGGTCTGTGGGAAGCTGGTCTCGGGTGATAGGACGACTTTGCGTCAATTCCTGGCACATTTCTCAGTTTCGGAGGTGACTGAACGTTCTGTAAAAGTACACAGCAAATCAGTCATTGACAAATTAAATAGATTCCACTGAAAACTCGGACAAGACACTTGTTAGACCTCAGCTGGAGTATTGTGGGCACCGCATTATAGGAAAGATATGAATACATTGCAGAGAGTGCAGAAGTGATTTACAGAAATGGTTCCTGGAATGAGAATCTTCAGTTATGAGGATAGCCCGGAGAAGCTGGGACTGTTCTTCCTGCAGAGTTGGCAGATGAGAGGAGATCTCATTGAGGCTCTCGAAACCTTGAGTTGACTGGACAGAGTAGTTAGGGCAAAGGTGTTTCCACATGCAAAAGAAACAAGAATAAGAGATAGATATGAGAAAAAGAAACTTTTTCCACACAACGAGTACTTAGGGCATGGATGGCACAGCCAAGAAATGTGGTGGAGGCAGGTTCAATTGAGGCATTCAAAGGGGCTTTGGACTTCTTTTTGGATAGTAATGGTGCACAGAAATATAGTGAAAAGGCAGGAGATTGGCAATAGATAACTGAGCGAGTAGGGCATTACGAGCCATGTAGCCTCCTCCTGCACCATAATAATTCTGCGAAGAAATGAAATTGTCTTCCTGTTTGTGTGAAGCAGCCAGAGTTTTCAAACAGACTTTGATCATCTTTCAAAGGTCATAAATCTTCTGCCTATGGCTGGTCAAGGTACATTTTAATTCACGCCAAGTTGTTAAATGAACTTTGGCTTTTGTTAAAAAAAACAAAAGATCAAAAAAGGTCATCAGTTTACACAAGCAGAATGACTCCTGCCAATACACTCAATGAACATCATGACAAGATCACATATTGGCAAATAAGGCTCCTCTACTGGTTACATTGTTGTTACAGTTTGTGGTGAGGGATGGGGGTGGAAGCGGAGAGATCATGTACATTGTAAGTATGTCCTTGTAATTATATGGGTGTACAGTTGTTTTCAGTTAAAATAATTAGTTACAAGGAGACAGGCATGTTGCATAAAGTAGTTTTCCATATAGTCGTTCAAAATATGGTTTACAAACATGAAGATGTAAAGGATAATGGAGATGGAGGCTGAACCAGAAATTATACATTAACTGCTTAATATTTACAAAGGGATAATCACTGTCACCTGTCACAATATGTTCCATGAAATGCATTTCCTGTGTTAAACTCATTTGCCTAATGAGTAATTTCACGGGCCTTGATAACAATACTAAATGGACTTTTCCACACCGATTAGCAGTGTTGGGGCATAAATTAAAGGCTTTAAAAAGGAGTCTGACAAAGCCTTTGCTGATTAACGTACATCTAGTACTCTTCCACTCAGCTATTTCCACAAACTACATGTAGTAAATGTTCTAAACAGAATTGTGTTCCATCTTCAAAATAAAATTACACATCCCTTGACCAATCCAAAAACAGACCTTCAGCCCACACACACATGCAGAGTTAAATAATTCGCAAAGCCGTAGAGAGTGATAGCCTTCACTAACTGGGCAGATGGCAGAAATGGGGCACTTTTGTTAAGTGGAATCATTAGAGACAATGGTTCGAGCACAAGATAGTTTCACAATTTCAGATGCTCCCTTCTGAAATCATGCAACCAAGTTCTAACGACTTGTACAGCAGTAGCACTAGGTAGGCACAATTAAAGGCAAGGGGACAGGGCCAGGTACAAATACAATGGGCCAAACAGTCTCATCCCATGTGAATTTTCTACATAGGATGGCAATACAAAGTGGAAGGGGAGAGCTGAATGAGTATTAAACCCAGGGTGCGAGGAGGGAGAGAGAGAGAGAAAGACCTTGTGAATTGGGAGGGAGAATTAGGTGTTTGCCAAATGTGAACTGATTGCAGGGCAGGAGGGCTTAGGCTAGAGATGGGTACTAGTGAAACCTAGATGGGTAGGTATGTGGAGATGTTTTCCAGCCCAGAACAGATGGGTAAGATTTGGTGCCAGTGTAAACCAGGAGAGTGAGAACTGGGAGATTAGTACCAGTGTAAACAAGAGGAGTGAGGATCAGGAGGTGGGTGCCAGCATGAAGTAGAGGTGTGGGCAGGGAGAGATGGGTACTTGTGCGCTTGAGAGGTGGGGCAAAGAGTGCTTACATGAACCGGGAAGGAGGAAGCTGCAGCATTATCAGAGGCTCTTGGGGGCTAAAATGAGAGTGCACAGCATGTTAGTCTAGTTTGTGATACAGTGCGATAGATTTGGCTGGGGAAAAGAGGGCAAGGTGAAAAACACACGGTCTGACTGATCTTTTGTCCTATCTCGTCAAAAAAACTACATTCCAAAAACTACTGAGAATGCAAACGAAACTGAACTTGTAGCAGCTCTTTCCCTATGAAACTGACCAAGTTTGATGAGCTTTTGTGAGCAAGAAAGCAAACTGTAACTTGACCCTTCTTGGGGGTAGATAGATTGAAGTAATAATTTGAAACCCCTCCACACATTTTATTAGCAATACAGTGAATTCCATAATATTTTTTAAAATAAAAAAAATCTGCTAATAATCTACAAGATTTGCAAAAGGGTTTAAAGGGTTGAGTCTCTTTGGAATCCCTTTCTCAAAAGGTAATGAATGTAGAATCTTTATATATTTTCAAGGCAGAGCCAGAT